TCATTTTAAATGAGGTTACTTGGGATATGGAGAATATGAGTAAAAGATCTATTGCTGTGGTTGAAGTTGGGTGATAGAGCTGAAGAGTTAGTTCACTTGGGACCCTTTCAATTTTCCTGAATTAAACAGAACATAGTCCTTAGGGAGTTATGAACATACAAGTTCTCTGTTTTATTTCATCTTTGTTACCCAGTATGATGCGTGGAGCATAGTAGGTTCAAAATAAATGTTGGTGGACTTGAATGCTTTGGTTTCCCTATAACTAGTTTCAGCCTCACATTACAGAAGAAATTTGTGTAGAGATAAAATTAAAAGTTAGGAAGTGCAGAGATTTTGTGCTTTCCCTCATTTCTATACAGTACTTCATCACATTAATCAGTTCCATGGGAGAAATTTTCTATTTGAAAGTGCCTCTCATCATCATTGTGAGTGAAATGTCAGGGATAATGATGGGAAAATGGTGTATCAGCTCTACCACTAGTGAAATGCAATTTGCAAAATTGTGTTTGCTTTACAGCGCTTCCATAGGAGGTTTATTTGTGTGGATGAAGCTATGAAATATGGATGTATGTTAGAGGTACATTAATTTATCCTAGCAGCATGCATTTTACATACCATATGTTTATAGTTAATTAGCACAACAAACCCGCATTTAAAAATAATAATAATCTCAATTAGGTTATGCAAAATCAAGCAATCAACCACCTTCCTGACACATATATTCTCCTACTCCTTGGGTAACTATAAAGAAATTGTTCTTTTTTTTCCTTTTCTCCCATCTGTTATCTATTATATTGCCTGGAATATTCCATTTGCTAGAAATCTTCGTAAGATTCTCTTGGGAAGAATTGTTTTTCTTTTGACGTTCAAAATATCTTTGTTGAATTTAATAAGGTGCCATATATTTATTGAGTACAAAGAGGAGTGCAATGGGGAAAATTATGAATTTAAATAATTTAAAAAGAAAACTGAAGTTACTATTTTAAGGTGATTTAGAAGTAAAATCTACTTTAATATCTTAGACTCTAATAGGTAACATATATTCATAGACTTTTAAAATTGGAAAGAAACAGATGTAATGGAGGCTAACTTCCCAGCTTAATAATCCTCTCCACTAAATTCATGACAAGTACTCATCTATCCTCACTTGAATGCGTTCAGTGAGCAAAGTCCTACAGTCTTACAAGTAAGGCAACTCAATTTATTGAATAGCTCTAATTGTTAGAAAATTTTCTCATATTGAGATAAAATATGCTCCCCATTAACTTCTTACTAGTAGTCCTGCTTCTGTTCTCAGAAGCAATAAGGGATAAGCCTAATTTCTATTCCACATGACACCCCTTCAGTTATAAAGTAGCTATCAGATCTTCCCAGTCTTCTCTTTTCTGAACAAACACCCCCAATATATTAAACTCTAAATCCTATTCATTTCCATTACTTTCATTGGAAATGAGCAGGTTTTACTAATGTCTCTCTTAAAATGTAGTGACTGAATGTGGGGCTTCAGATGTGATCTAACTTATCCTTGCAGTTGAGCTTGGTTCCAGCTTTTGCCCAGTTATGCCGGGCTGTGGACTTATCATACTGACAGCTAACAGAACCCCCAGGGCTGTTTCCATACTGCCCCTTGTTTAGCTGGGCCTCCTCATCCTGTACTTATTCTTCCTCACTGCTGAAGCTTGTTAATCAGTCTTCCTAAATTTGTCCACCTGTAAGTCCCGTAGGCATTGGCAGGGCCACTGAGAAAGCTTAGGACTCTACTTTTAAAGGTTTCTCTTTCCATTGTCATCAGTTCCTTACAGTTTTGCGATTTGCTTATTAAATAGTTAGATTGCAAGCCAGTTTGTGGTAAATACTTAAGAAAATTTTTATTTATATATTTTTTTAATCCTCACTCCAGGATTGATTTTTAGAGAGAGAGAAACGGGGAGAGAGAGAGAAATATTGATGTGAGACACAGTGATCCGTTGCCTCCTGTATGTGCCCGACCAGGGATGAAACCTGCAATCTGGGTATGTGCCCTGACAGGGAATCAAACCCTCAACCTTTTGGTGTATGGGATAATGCTCCAGTTAGCTGAATTACCTGGCCAGGGTGGTTGTAAATTTGTAAGTGTATTCTTGTTTAGAATCTAAACAATTCATTACAACTTATTTGAAAGTTGTGATCTACCATATCTACACTAATAAAAGACAAACATGCAAATTGTACCTTCACCATGCCTTAGGCCATGCCCACCAGCCAATCAAAGTGACTATATGCAAATTAACCCAACCAGGATGGCAGCCAGCAGCCACAGAGCTGGAGCAAGCAGGAGTCTTGATTGCTCCAGTGATGGAGGAACCCAAGCTTCCCGCATGCCCTGGCTGGCTCTGAGCTCCACTCAAGGCTACAAAGTTTCAATTATAGAAGGTAAATAAATCCCAGAATAAAAAAAAAGAAAAAAAAGGAGAGGCTGGGAGCTTCCGTCGCCAGGGGGCTTGGGGAGCCTGAAAATGGCCCTCAGCCCCTCACCCAGACTGGCCAGGCACCACAGGGGGGACCCCCACCCTGAAGGGGGTGTGACCAGCCTGAAAACACCCATTAGCCCCTCACCCAGGCTGGCCAGGCACCCTAGTGAGACGCCCACCCTGATCCGGGACACCCTTCAGGGCAAACCAGCTGGCCCCCACCCATGCACTATGCCTCTATCCTATATAATAAAAGGGTAATATGCAAACTGAACCTAACAGCAGAACCACTGGGAATGACTAGTCACTATGACACACACTGACCACCAGGGGGCAGATGCTCAGTGTAGGATCTGTCCCCTGGTGGTCAGTGCACTCCCACAGGGGGAACTCTGCTCAGCCACAAGCCAGGCTGACGGCTGCCAGCACAGTGGTGGTGGCGAGAGCCTCTCCCGCCTCCTCAGCAGCATAAGGATGTCCGACTGCAGCTTAGGTCTGCTCCCTGCTGGTAAGTGAACATCCCCCGAGGGCTGCCGGACTGCCAGAGGGATGTCTGACTGCCAGCTTGGGCCTGATCCCCCAGGGAGCGGGCCTAAGCCAGCAGGTGGACATCCCCTGAAGGGTTCCAGATTGCAAGAGGGCCTAGGCCGGGCTGAGGAACCCCCCCGAGTGCACAAATTTTTGTGCACCAGGCCTCTAGTTTACCGCATAAAAATCTAATGGTATCTTGTGGATACTCTAAAGCACTGGTTCTCAAACTTTAGTGTGCAGAAGGGCTTGTTAAAAATACAGATTGTGGGTTTTACTAGATCGTAGGTGAGGCAAGAATTTGCATTCCTAACAAGATCCCGGTAATGTTGCCCATCCAGACACCACCCTGAAAATTACTGATCTAAAAAAAGATGGACTAAGTGGCCCGGTGGCACATCACTTCAAAGGTAAAATTTTTTTAATGCCAAAAAATGAAATTATTATTATTTTTAAAATATATTTTATTGGTTTTTTTTACAGAGAGGAAGGGAGAGGGATAGAGAGTTAGAAACATCAATGAGAGAGAAACATCGATCAGCTGCCTCCTGCACACTCCCTACTGGGGATGTGCCCGCAATCAAGGTTCATGCCCTTGACCGGAATCAAACCTGGAACCCATGAGTCCGCAGGCTGATGCTCTATCCTCTGAGCCGAACCGGTTAGGGTTGAAATTATTTTTTAAAAATTGTTTTTTAATTACAGTTATTCAATGTTATTTTATATTAGAGGCCCAGTGCATGAAATTCATGCATGGGTAGGGTCCCTAGGCCTGGCTGGCAATCAGGGCCGATCTGTGGGGTGACAGGTGGGGCAATCGGGGCCCCTGCTCGCACCCACCTTGGCCTGGTGCCACCCACGCACCTGCTCCACCATCTTGCTACAGTCTCACTCTCGTCTGGGGGCCGATTGGGGCTGTCAGCACCTCCACTGCCACTTGCTGTCAGTGCTGCGACACTGACGCCCGCCATGTTCTGCACTGCCCCCTGGTGGTCAGTGCACCTCTAACTCCTGGTTGGTAGCCCCCCCCCCCCGCCAATATTTCCCATACCAACCTGACACTATACATAGTAATTACAGTACTAGAGCCTGGTGCACGAAATTCATGCACTCATGGCGGGGAGGGGGGTTCCTTAGTCTGGATTGTGAGAGGGTGCAGGCCAGGCCGAGGGACTCCACTGGTGCACAGTTGGGGCCGGGGAGGGACCACAGGAGGGCTTCAGGGCATGTCCAGCCCATCTCGCTCAGTCTCGATCAGCTGGACCCAAAACTAACCTGCCAGTCGGAGTGTCTGTCCCCTGGTGGTCAGTGCACTTCATAGCGACTGGTCAACCGATTGACTGCCCCCTGATGTCAGTGCTCATCATAGCGAGCGGTTGAGCGGTCTTAGCATATCATTAGCATATTACACTTTGATTGGTTGAATGGCCGACTGGATGACTGGACACTTAGCATAGTAGGCTTTTATTATACGGGATTATTGACTATACTAGAGGCCTGATGCACAAAATTCATGCAAGAGTAGGCCTTCCTTCCCCCAGCTGCTGGCACCGCTTCCCTTGCAGCCCTAGCTTCGTCTGGAAGGTTGTCCGGAAGGATGTCCGGTCTAATTAGCATATTATGCTTTTATTATTATAGATTCCCTATGCTGTACTTTATGTCCCCATGACTATTTTGTGATTACCAATTTGTACTTCTTACAAAATCTAAATTCTTCATTACATAATAGCCTTTCTTGTAAAGTCTGTTGTATTGGATTAAGGATCAGAGTTGTTCTCAATGTTAGGCAGTGTGAATTTGTCATAGCAAATTTTACTGTTGTTATAATGAAATTTCACTGCCATAGAGGCCTTCCTGAAGCTGCTCATTAGTAAGTAAGCTCTTGCTTTTAAGAATTTCTTATTAATAATTTAGTTTAACCTGTATCTTGGCATCAGCTTGTTCATTTATTGGTTAAAGAATCTTAAGGAATATTGACTCATTTGAGTAAATTTTCTTTTTCCATTTTTTTAAACTTTCTAGGTAGATTATGATAATCATGCACTTTATAAACATGGAAAGACAGGTCGGAAACAGTCTCCTGTGCGTATTTTCACCAATATTCCACCCAACAAAATAATTCTTCCTGTGGAAGAAGGGTATAGGTAAGATCATAGTGGGACCTTGAAGTTCATGTCACTGAGTATCAGTTCCATATATCTAACATTAAAATGCTTTTAATATTGACTCATGTGGTTCTGTTACTTTTAACTGTGGCCCATAATTTTGTATTCAATTAAATTTGGATTACACCCAGTTTTTGTAATGAATGCCTTGCAAACTTTTATCTACTCTGTGAATCTCAATAAGTATATGCAACTAAGTCTTTCTTTCCTCTGTAGGTTTTGCCCTCTGTGTCAACGATATGTTTCTCTAGAGAATCAACACTGTGAGCACTGTAATTCGTGCACATCCAAGGTATAAGTTTTTTTAGAATACATTTATTCACCTTTATTAGTTTTATTTAATAGTTTTCATTACATTTGTTTGTTATTTTGTTAATGTAATTTGTGTTAATATCATTTATTAATTATACACGAATACAGCATTTTATTTCTAATTATAAAATACAACAGGCTTTAAAAAAATACTTAGACAAATAAGAGAGTCCTGGAGCAGAGTAAGCCTGAAACATTGCTGGAGGCACAAATGACAGAACTGAAGCTGCCTTACCTCAGGCACATCCTGAGAAGGCAGGGTCCTGTGGGAAAACAATAATGCTGGGAAAATGAGGCATCAGGAAAAGAGGAAGATCAGCTATGAGATGGACTCCATAAGGCAGCGGTCGCCAGCCTTTCCAACCTCACGGACCACCAGTGGTCCACGGATCACCAGTTGGTGACCGCTGCTCCAAAGGTTTCCTTAAAGTTAAAGTAAGCCATAGGCATGAGTCCTTAGGAGATGAGCAGGGCTGTTGAGGACAGGAGATTGTAGACATCCCTCATTCATGGGGTCACCAGGAGTGGAGCCAACTTCACAGCATGTCACACAGTTGACTTTGTCATCATAATAATTATTTGAAGTTTATATGGTACTATATGGCTACTAAAATTATTACTGGTTAAGGCACTGAATTTTGTTAAGCATACAGAATTACGTTGTTTCAAATATGGCATTGAAGTATTAGATCCCATCACTGTTCTGGTGAAGTTATAATTAATAACATGTCCTGGAGGAAGGACTCCATGGGACAGACTTCCTCTTTATTTTTTAGGAATCACCCTTGAGTTGCTCTGTTATTTTAAACTAGAGGCCTGATGCATGAAATTAGTGCAAGAGTAGGCCTTCCTTCCCCCGACTGCCGGCACCAGCTTCCCTCTGGCACCCGGGACCCGGGCTTCCCTCTGGCCACTGGCAGGCACCTGGGACCCGGGCTTCCCTCGCAACACAGGCTTCGTCCAGAAGGTCGTTTGGTCTAATTAACGTATTACGCTTTTATTATTATAGATAAGTCCACTCAGAAAGAACATATGAAGTTTAGTTTGGCCGATAAGCACATACTAGTCTTCAAAGGAAAGAGGATATATATTTATAACTAAGAGAAAGTACATTTTTCATAACTTTATAATTTTATTACTGGTTATATTAGTTTTTAATTTTGTTAACATACCTGATGGCATATATTTTCAATTCTTTTAGAAGTAATCTGTATTCTTCAGCTAAAAAAATGATACCCAGAGCGTAAAAGTGCAAAATGTGGAAAATAAAACTTTATTATAGAGACGCACACATGGTGGTAAATAAACAAAAGCAAGGAAGTGACCATTACAAAAGCCAGACGAGGTGTCACTACTCTGGGGAAGGAGGAAGCTGGGCTGGCAAGGGGCACGTGGGGAAGTGTCCAGGAGGCTGATGGCGTTCTGTTTCCTGACCTGTTGGGTTCATAAGTGGTTACTTTATATTATCATTAAATTGGACATTTGTGTCTAATGCACTTTTCTAGGTATGTTTTATTTCAGTTTTAAAATCACCCAAATAGTAATCTATCATCCCTATCTTTCTAAATGATATAGTTCTCAGATATGAATTTTATTAAGGATTATGCCAGTTCAACACATAAAAATTATGAATCATTAATTCTCTTGAAATTTTCATTGCGTCCTTCCTTATGCAGATGGGGTTGCTTGATCTGGAGTGGACTTTAAAGATCATTTAGAGAAATCCCCCAGTTGTAGAGTTAAGGAAATTGGGGCACATCAACGAGACATTGAGTAGAGTGGAGATATGCATATGTTAAAATCAAAGTATGTAATTTTGAAGCTTAGGAAAGTGAGAAATAGGAATTAATAATTTACACAGATTTTAATAAGACATTTTAATTTTTAATTGTGGGACTTGATTTTTAATGACAAATTAAATATAATTTTAAATTTGTTTTTGTAGGATGGCAGGAAATGGAACCATTGCTTTCTCTGCAAAAAGTGTGTAAAGCCTTGTAAGTATTTAGACTTAGTGTTTGAAATCCTGTGAAAACAGTTGAATTTTTCTTCTTCTAGATAGGATTTGTATGTAACTGCATTTATAAAAGAAAAAATCACTATAGAGACCTGTATTAATTTACTTGCTTTTTAATTTTTATAATTACCAAAGTGTATGTTCTCTACTTCATAGAAAGCCATAACTACTAACCTCTTTCTGTGTGCCATTGGATTTGGCTTGTTTTAATAGGGCTTTGTGTCACGCAGCCAGCCCCCGTGTGTCAGTGGCCCTAAGATCACATGGCTCACTAGAGAAGGACTAAATTCGTTGCTATGTCTCAGACAGAAGTTAGCTGATTTACAAGGGATTCCGGCCTCTTAACTTTGGGCTCTTTAGTGAAATTATAACCAGCTATGCAAACCTGTGACAGTAATTGAAGTAAACATTATTCATGCTTCCCTATCATAAAGGTTAATCAAATGAAAAATTACCTTAAATGAACCTCTTCTAAAACTCAATTTTTATTTTACAGCCTGGATCCACTGTAGCATTTGCAATCACTGTGCTCTTCCCGGTCATTCTTGCGAGGGCCCTAGAGACGGCTGCTTCATTTGCGGTGAATTAGATCACAAACGTAGTACCTGTCCTAACATCTCTGCAGCTACAAGAGTTAGCAAGTTAGTTGAATTCTTTTGTTTACTAGAAGAAAAATTTCATTGTGTGACTTATACAGAGTAATCCACAAAAGTGTGCAATAATTGGAAGATTCAAAAGTGCTAAAGTAATTGTTGTATTGTTTGCATGGATTGGGAAAGGAGGATATGAAGATGAGTCCAAGAGCTTAGAAATTTATAGGTAAGACATGAAAATAACCAGAACATAAGGTAGAAAGTGACTAACTTTATATCTCCTGCGGTTAGTGTGAAATTATAATTTGTGGGGCGAGGGTTCAGGCTTTATTGAAGGATCTGCTGTTTAAGTCAGGACAGATTGGCTGTAGACATATGGTATTGGGTAAGGCTGGAGCACAATCTCAGATGCAGTGAAATGTATGATTCCACAGTGGACACACTGGAAGATGAAGTTATTTCTTTAAAGTAGATGAGACTTCAAAAAAAAATACTTAGACATATTTTATATTTAAATATTTAAAGTTTAATTTTTACCTTTTTTCTGTTAATAATTTCCCTTCTCTCACCAATATTTGGTGTTGGTTATAACTCAGAGCAAAGTCATACCAATGACAATGGTATACTTAGAAAAACCATTGCTATTTCAACTGGGCTAACTTGAATGAATGATTATACTTTTTTTTAAACTAAAAGTGATGATAGGTATTGAGTCCTCTTGTTTTATTGATATGAAGATCAGATAGCCAAGTTTAACATTACACAAAAATTGAGATGAGGATCAAAGTTTGAGCTATCAGATGACTTGTAATTAAAAAAATATCTATTGCCCTGGCTGTGTAGCTCAGTTTGTTAGAGCATCATCCCATATACCAAAAGACTGCAGATTCAATTTCCAGTGAGGGAACATACCTACGTTGCAGGTTCCATCCCCATTCGGGGCACGTGCAGGAGGCAACCGATCGATGTCTCTCTCTCACATCAATGTTTCCCTCTCTCTATTCCTTATCTCTCTCTAAAATCAATAAAAATAGCCCAGCTGGCGTTGCTCAATGGTTGCGTGACTACCTGTGAACCAGAAAGTCATGATTTAGTTCCTGGTCAGGGCACATGCCTGGGTTATGGGCTGGATCCCATGTGGGGTGTGCAGGAGGCAGCCAATCAATGATTCTCTCTCATCATTGATGTTTCTAACTCTCCCTCTCCCTTCCTCTCTGAAATCAATAAAAATATATTGTAAAAAATAATAATAAAATAAAATCAATAAAATCATGTCCTTGAGCAAGGATTAAAAAAAGAAAAAAGTTATCAATTAGTAATAGAAGTATCCAGTTCTTTGGTACCTATGATTATACTAGTGGCCCAGTACATGGATTCATGAACATTGAAAGGAAATTAATTAGAAGAAATATTTTAATATGACTCTTCGCCCTTTCTCTATAATAGAAGTGTCAACCAAATTCATGATCGACAATGACAGATCAGAACACATGCGTGTGATTGGCACCAGCGAGAGCTTTATATGTATTGAGCATGCACGAGTCAACTTAGCCTTTTAAATATATAGAATAAACTTGCTTAATTAGACCTGCTTTCTGATTTAGCTAAACTTTTTCCAGCCCAATGAAGCACCCCAACTTCTCTTTCAGGTAATTGTCAGCAACAAGCAGTAAATATCAACACAATGCAGATTATTGTAGATAACACAGGGAGCACAAAGGGTAAAATATTTAACGGCAGCAGTGTTTGACTATATTCTGCGCAGTGAGAAAACCTGACATCATTTTCAAGGTCCACCATTTCTTCTTTTCAGTCGGGTCAAGTTTCTGAGCTTTCTAAATCTTGGTTTTTCTGGCTAACAAAAAGAAAATAGGATTCTACCGAGTCTCCTATCTACCTACTTCAGGACTTCAGTGAGGATCAAATGAGATGAGGCATGGGAAAAGGCTTCACAGACATTTGGTTAAAGTGTAAAATGTTTGCTCCTGGCTATAAAGCAAGTTGTGTACCTGGGCTGAAGAAACTGCAAGGAGGCTAGTCTCTAGGAAGAGGAAGCCAGGCGTTGCTACGTGAGGTCATTACCTGGCGCACACAGCCACCATTTCCTGTCTGGGCTGGGTTGTGGGCCGAATTTTGCGCCATGGGGGTCTCGGCAGCATCGGCTGCGATTTGGTAGGGTGTTACTCTGGGGTGCTGGCGGGGCCTGTGCCCCACTTGGGGGAAACCGAGTGTTGCTTTGTCGAGGCCATGTCCATGGTGCCGTTTCTTTGTTAATGGCCAGTGTGCGTCACAGCAGCTCCTGTGTTGAGCGTCTGCCCCCTGGTGGTCAGTGCACATCATAGCGACTGGTTGGATGGTTGGAAGGACACAGCATATTAGCCTTTTTTATATATAGATTAGAGTTTTATTTGATTTGTCATTGGAAATTATTTTGTTCCATTACTTTCCAGCCATTTGAATTCTGCCTACTATTTAAACTGCCTTTTTTATCTTTACCAAATTTACTTTAAATAATGATTTCCACTAAGTGGATATGCTTTTCATTGATTCTAGAGAGAGGAGGAGAGAGGGAGAGGCAAAAATACCTATTGGTTGGCTCCTGTACGTGCCCCAACTGCAATCTGGGTTTGTGCCCTGACTCCAAATCAAATCCTCGACCTTTCGGTACATGGGACAATGCTCCAACTGAGTCACACTGGCCAGGGCTGTGATAGTTTCTAAATTAGTTAAACAGGTGTACTGAAGAATTTTACAAAATATTTTTTCTTACAAAATAGAATAGAACCTTACAAAATAGAATACAACCTAATGAACTATTGGTCTGGGATTGTTGCACTATTTACAGTGTAATTCAGGTTACAAACAGGAGTTAGTAACATGCTCAGCCTTTGATTCTGTGATCTTAGGATCCATGGAAACTGAATTTGCATTTTGGTACTATATTGCAGACTCTTCATTGGTTCTAAAATAGTCCTGGCTAGTCTATTTGGTAGTAATACATTGTTTTCATTGAGAGAAACCATCTTGTATCTTCTAGTATTGCATTTTATCAAGTTTAATTCAAAGAGAAAATCCCTTAGGATGTAGTACTTCTCTCAGAGAAAACTGCTAACTGAACTCTTGTTAACAGTTATCTTAAGGTATTGCTTTAAAAATTTTTTTATAATGGAATTGAAAATGCAAGCCTTTTTTTGCAATAGAAAAAATAATTTTAATAGTCTTTTTAGCATAAATGGCATAAAATATCTTTTCATCTTACGTATTTTATAGCTGCTCAAATTAATTGGCTTTCCCTTAGTACTAATTTTCCCTTGGTTGTGGATTAGAATGATGCTGGCTCCCTCTTGTGGTTAAAGCTCACTTTATCAGTTATATAAATACCTATAATTTAGAGGACAAATACTAGGTCAATTTAATTTTAAGGAAAAATAAGATAATTAATTGATTTATGCTTAATCACTTCATCACTGTTGAAAAAATTTATCTCTGGAAAGTTTTATTTATTCATATTACAAGTGAATGTTTTCTTTTTTTTTTTTTATAATCACAATTTTTTTAATATATTTTATTGATTTTTTACAGAGAGGAAGGGAGAGAGGTAGAGAGCTAGAAACATCAATGAGCGAGAAGCATCGATCAGCTGCCTCCTGCACACCCCCCACTGGGGATGTGCCCGCAACCCAGGTACATGCCCTTGACCGGAATCGAACCTGGGACCCTTCAGTCCGCAGGCCGACGCTCTATCCACTGAGCCAAACCGGTTTCGGCACAAGTGAATGTTTTCTTTCTGTTCTTGTGTACTGTATTCTCTAGTGAAATCTGGTTCTTCTTATAGGAGGATCAGCCAAAGAAAATTTGTTTAAATTTTACATACAGGCATGCATAGCTTCATTGACTTTGCCATTAAGAGGTTATACTTCATTAAATTTGCAAAATCATCATTTATCAGGACATCATCCTACTTTTTAAAAAATGGCTGGAGGGAAAGGAGATTTATATAACATGCACAAAACAGTAAAAAAAAAAAATGATTGTTTTATTTGCTTTATAATCTGGTAGGATACCCCAGTCCATAGTGCAAAATCTATAAATATGGAAAAACTTAGTTGTCAAGCAAAATTCCAAGAATAATAGTCATGGAGCTAGTGATAATAG